AATGGGATTTATAAGTATCAGGCAGTACCTTACTTGGTGGCCCTTGACAGCATGTACACAAAACTCCCCAGAGTTGGGACAGTAGTGAAGCTAGGCTCTCAGGAAACCAAGCAGGGTAGAGTAAGCCCCAAAACAGAGGCAGAAGACCTAAGTATATTGCTTAGCAGTTTAAAGGCTGATGCAATCAGAAAAAGATTGCATATATGCAATAAAGACAGATTTAGAAGGAAAAAAATCTTTAAATGTATTACAATGTATTAATAAATATACATAGGTTTTGGAGACCAAAGAAAAAGGATAGAGACAGTCATAGATTAAAAATAGCTTAAAATATTAAAATAAAGTCCTTAAAAGACTTTTAAAAAGAATGGAGTAAAAAAATAGAATAAATTGTGTAAAGATGGAAAATACATAAATGGCCTGGATTCTGTGTGTTATTCCATTGTCTTTCAATTTTCTAATTGCTAATGAAGGAACAACAACTGCTAAAATACATTGGATTATGACAACTGCTGATTAAGCCAACTCATATATTTTTAAAATGTCTTGAATTCAAAATGGAAGTCAAAAAATATGTTACTTTGGGGAAGAGGTTATGCCTTTATTTCCACAGGATATAAGCCTATGGATTCATTCCTGAATAAAGAAAACCAGGTTTGATTGGGGAAGACCCATGAAATCCTAGCTACAGACATATAAATAAATAAACCTCAAAAAACTACAGGATATGTAACATATATTTTACGTGCTAAACAGATTTATTTTGATAGGCAGATGATCTTCAAATATTTCAAAGGCCTACAAAATATGACATTTAAAATATCTTATTAGCATAAGACTTTTCTTGACAGTGAGATATGTCTGCTCTTTGCAGCACCAATCTATTTCAAAGATGATAGGCATCAGAGAAACTCCATATAGAGTTTACAATTTTTTGGCAAAGGTTAACTGTAGGCAAGAAACTGCCCTTGCCTCCACTGCTGACAATATGCTGTCCAAATTGGACAAGCAGGCACAAAAGAAAGAGACTGCAAAACTTTGCCAAGACAAGATGGGAACTCCTTCAAAATTCCTGCTTCGTTGTAAAGTATGTCAAATATACTAGGCCTGAAGGACAAAGTTGGATGTCCAATATTGCAGAACTTGGAGTGACTGTCCAGACAGCCAGATGTCCCTTTTCTCTAATTTTTCCAAATATAAATGGACTGGATATTGTAACTGTAATTCTTACTTGATAACTGTTTTTTTGTTGTATATCATTTTGCTTTGTTAAAGTTAAAACCTTTCTTTTTAACTAGACAAAGGGGGGAATGCTGTGGAACAATCTTTGTACCCTGTAAATATATATTACTCTCCTTTGATTGATAAAGAGCTGTCTGGCCTATAGCTGTGAAGGAGAGCCAGACTAGGAGAACTCTGGGAAGAAGAAGGGTGGAGTCAAAGGAGTTGCGAGGAGAAACAGAGGGAGCAAGACATGCTGGAAGACAGATAAAGCCATGGGTCAATTGGCAGAACATAGATTAATAGAAATGAGTTAATTTAAGTTGTAAGAGCTAGTTAGTAATAAGCCTGAGGTAGTAGCTGAACATTTATAAATAATAATAACTTTCCATGGGCTTACTTGGGAGTGACTGCCAAGACTCAGAGAAACTCTGCCTACAGATGCCCTCTTCTGGCCTCTATGGCACCTGCACACATGTGGTTCACATACATATCATCAGGTAGGCACATACACACACACACACACACAAATGAATCTTAAAAAACAAACAAGCCATGGGTCACATGACAACCAGTGATTGCTTGGCAGGGCATGGACTAACTCTGGTGCAGACAGGCTTAGAATTCTGGAAACACACACTAAATGTGTGACCCTGAGCGTTCTCGAATAGTACAGTGAAGATTTTTGGACATGTATCATGTTTTCATGATGAAAGTGCTGGTGTGATGCTTAAACATAAATGGATGCTTGAAAAAGTCAAGAGACACACATGCTACAAATGACATCTAGAAGGGATAGAATTTTACAAAAAAGGAAGGAGTCAGCACAGGAATATGGGGGAAAGTGCCAGAGATACCTCTGTAGGGACAACTGGGTGCCCAGGAAGAGAAACGTCTTCTGCCACAGCACTGAATCAAAATGTACAATGTGTGAATTATCAGAAGGCTCAAGACATCTACATGTCTTAAAAATCTGTCATAATGCATACAGAAATTCAGGATTATTATGGAAGTGAGACTCAATCCCTTGAGTGGCTTACATGGATGACTACATGGTACCTCAGGATTCCACCTCCAGGATGTCTCAAGTCTTGTTTGAGTCTCATCTTAAATCACCATTCTTTTACATTTTAAGAGGTCCCTTTAAGTTCTATCTTGTTTACAGAACATGTGTAAATACACTATATGGCAGAATTTGAAGCTCAGGACAGATGAATAAGCAAAGAACTGAGTGAAAGAAAACTAGTCAGCAAGACTCAGCCTCCTCTCCACTGCAGCTTCCTATGTCAGCACAAACAAGCTCCTCTAAGTTAGGAAATACCGCATCAGATACTGAATTGGGTGAGATATGTCACAAATGTGAGCCAAATATCTCACATTTTTCAATCAAAGGTAAAACATCTCCTTTATGTAGCTAATAAACACATGAAGTTAACTTCTTGGAAATTAGTCTGGATTTTCCCCCAAACAAATCAAACAAAAAACAAAACACCTTTAAGCCAAGTAGTGGTGGCATACACCTTTAGACAGAGGCAAGCGGATCTCTGTGATTTCAAAACCAGCCTTGTCTATAGAGTGAGTTCCAGAAGAGCCAAGGTGACACAGAGAATCTCTGACTCAAAGAAAATTAAAAATAAATAAAAACCAAACAAGAACAAAACAAATAAACCCCAAAAACAAACAAAAAGGAAAATCAAAACACATTTAAGAAAGATTAACTTCAGGTTTGCCGGGAAAACAGGAAGGGTGAACATAATGGGTGTCAACTACAGCCCTGAGTCAGAGAACCAGAGGCCATGTATGACTTTCAGGCCGGACAATGGCAAAAAGGAACTAGGGAGCAGGTGAAAATGCTCTCCGAGGTCATAGTCTTGAGAGTACTCGTCAGAACAAAGCAGAAACTAGTCTTGGAGCAATGGGAGTTGGTGTACTTGCGGTTCTGTTCCTTATAACTTAATTAATGAGGAGATTAAGACCAGCTAATTTATTGCGTAAGTAGTAAACTATTATTTTTTTAGTGGCCTTTTCTTTTCTTTTTTCTTTTTTTTTTTTAACAGGCTTTTGAGAGTGGGTAGAACAAGACTTTACAGGGTGGTTCCTCCTGCCGGGACAGCACTCTAGGGATGAGCATATGATGTTAAGGAGTTTGGTCCAATGCTCTGTAGTCTGAAGCCCACAGCCTTCCAGTTCTTCAGCCCTTTCTGGACCCTCAGATTGAAAGTCTTTGGCCTAACTCCTTGTTTCTTGGCTGAGCCCAGCCTTTAATTCTAGCTAATACCACTATGGTGCTCATGAGAAAAAGGCCAGGTCCTTTCTTTGACATTTGAGACAAAACCACGTACAAAGTGGATATCTTAACAGAACCGTAGTGTTTTCTGAGTACCGTTCATCCAAAATCCATCGCCCCACAAACTTTCTTTTGTGATCATCTCATACCCGTGTGCCCAGTTTTCATATTCAATGAGTGATTAGGATGAGTTCCCCATTTGTAGGACTAACACTGCTTTTGAAGTCCTAACATCGTGTAAACATTTGCAACTTGTGAAATGAAGTTTTAAAAGGCCAGTCTTTCCGGCAACTTTTGGTTTAAGCAAAAGTGAAAGAGCGATCAGCTGGACAGGAGACTACATTATCGAACACTAATCTCTTTCACTTTGCAGTGTGGAATTTTTTGACCTAGATTCTGTCCCTTGAAAGGCAAATGACTGTAGATAATTCTAAAATACTGTGCTAACTGTTAATATAAAAGGTTATTTCCCTAACCACATTTATTTTGCTATTCTGAAAATCTGTCAGCCCGAAACTCTCTGCTTTTATCCACCTTCGTTTTTACCTTCTGAGCAGCCTTCTCCATAGCAACTAGAAATGTCTCTGGGCTGAAATAATCCTCCCCAGCTCCCAGCGCACAGTCAAAGAATTTTAAAAACAGAACTTTGGAACTGCAAAAGACTCTCCGAGATTTAAAGGCCCAGGGAGCTCAAGATAAATATCCATTTCTCTTTCTTGAGGTAAGTGCTGGGGTTACAAAGTTCTGTGTCACCCTCTAACTTTATTTTAAATACTAACCTAAGAGTCTGAAACTGTTTTGTAAACCATGAAAATAATTTCAGAATCTTGTTCTTACCCCCAAGGTCATTATTGGCTCATTTCTGGATCCTACAGGAGATGCTGCTAACATGTTGCACTCCTTCAACAGTCAACTGAGTGTTTTTTTCTCCATAAATTCTGATTGATTCGGAAATCTCTTCCCTTGCTCTCAGAGACTCTTGCGTGCACAGATTTATCATTCTCCTGGAGTCTTGAAATGCTCTCGTTTTTTCTAAGATACTTCATTCTCCAGAGTCTTGATTTCTATTAGGCTAGAAACTAACAAGTGGTTCCCAAATGTAACTTGTTTTTCTAGTAAATTGTCCTCTTGAAAGATTCTAATTCGGTGTGAGACTGGAAATTTATTGGAAGTCATTTTCTCTTGAATTTTCTTCACCGACTTCACAGGACTTGTTTCACAGTGGCGTGTCTCTCTCTAGGTCCTGTGCCGGGCACAGCCTGCAGATAGAGGAAATGTGCCTTTTCTCAGCATTTGCCTCTTTGTGTATTTAGTTCAGTCCAGTTTCCCCGCTGGTCTTTGGGGTTACATGCTATATATGGACCCCCCTGTTGCTGCCACTGCAAATCAGCTTAGCCACCCAATTAGTGGGTGCTTTTAAATGTGTTGCAGGCACAATAATTGAAGGCTTTTCTTCTCCTTTCCACCACAGAAATTCCTCTGGTTGTAAGGTCTCCTATGCACAGCCCTCACCGCAGGCCAGTTCAAGCCAAAGGAAGAGTGGACATGTGTCCCCTGACAAATCTTTCAGTGGTAATGGTGCTACTACTGTCCTACCTTCTCGGCCTTGTTTCCTCTACTGAGGCGGACAAGGCCCTCACTCAGGATACCAGCAGTACTGGGAGTCAAGGCCTGCTAGAAGTCCTAAGGGGCCTCTCTGTTGGTGCCAACCAGTCCCTCAACCATCCACGAAGCCTCATCAAAATTCTGCTTGAGAAGACTGGGTGTCCACAGAGGACAAATGGAAAGCAACGAGTCTGCAAGCTGGTTAGTAAATAAAGTGGGATTGGGTGCTAAGAATGGCCCGAATGGGAACAGTGGATTTCGCAGAGATTCTTTATCACCGTGAATGGCAGGCATGCAAATCTCTTCATATGCAAGAGGGAAGTTCAGCCTGGTATGATAATGTCTGGGTTACTACAACTCATTCAGCATTCCTCAGGGAGCTCATCAAGATGAGGGCTTGTTTTATCTTTGGGAGAATAATTTGTAGGCTGTCTACACCGGATCTCCTTTAGAGCTGCTGACTTGCTGGCACGCATGCTCAGTCCTTCCTCCTTTCTGCTTTGCTGAGATGGTTTTTGTTTTTATTTTGTAAGCTTGCAGTGAACATGCACAGCTGTTAGGCAGAGGCAATTGCCCCTTCCACGAGATAACCACAGCATTCTGACACCTGTCTAACATTCAGTTCCTGGATGCCCTCTCCTAGGTGCCAATGGTGTTTTCTGATTTTGTGCGTGCGTGCATGCGTGCGTGTGTGTATCTGTGGAAGGTAGTCAACACCTCGATAATCACTAGCAGTAAGGAATCAGCTGCGGGAGAGCAATGCTGCAGGCAGAGTTGAAACTGGACCACGCCTCGAGAAGCCTGGTCCACATCCTCTCAGGCAGTCTTTCATTCTTCTCATCTGTCAAGTGAACCAGACCTGTCTACTCACAGAGGCGGTGGTGCAGGCCTCGTGGCTACTCCATCAAGACTTCCCTCTCCCCAGACTAAATCTTGACTTGCCTAGGATGGGTTTTTGTTGTTGCTTGCCCCCCTCCCCGCCAGACAAGGTTTTCTGTGTAGCTCTGACTGTTTTACTCTTGGTTGGCCTTGAGCTCACAGAGAACTACCTGCCTCTGTTTCCCAAATGCTGGGATTAAAAGTGTGTACCACCTCCCCGCCCCCACTCCCAAGGATTTTTTTAAAAAAATCTCCAGATTGTTGTAGCATGAAGTTGGTGGAAATTGGTGGGGACTGATTCTGTCCCCCATTAAGGTGTTGGGGGTCATGGGAGAAGACCCATCAGATTGCACTGTGGGTTTGTGCATGTCACAGGAGAAGGTCTATCAAGTCTCACTGTGGAGGAGAGGCTGGGTTTTAAAAAACTGCTAACAAAATCCCTCTTTGTCTCCCCATTCTAGACCAATAATTTTTTTTAATTTTTATTTTTTAAAAGAAAATAAACTGTATTTTTCATTATACATACCCAATCCAAGTTCCCACTCCCTCTTCTCCTCCCATTCACTCCACTTACCCCACTTCCACCCACATCCACTCCTCAGAGAAGGTAAGGCACATTGCTTTGTGAAAGGTCCAAGGCCCTCCCTACTATATCTAGGCTGAGCAAGGTATCCATCAAAAGAGAATGGGTTCCCAAAAAGCCAGTACAAGCAGTTGGGATAAATCCTGGTGCCAATTCCAATGGCCCCTCAGTCTGCCCCAGCCATGCAACTGTCAACCACATTCAGAGGGACGGGTTTCATCTCATGCTGGTTTCTTCCCAGTCTGGCTGGTGTTGGTGAGCTCCCATTCAAATAAATGGATAAGTAAAACCAAAAACAAGTAAAAAAAAAGGAAGCACATAACTTCTTTCAAAGTAAGTTTTGACTGGGTTTCTCAATCCACCAGAGTTCCAGGTTAAGGGTGGGGTGAGGTAACGAATTTCCCAGCCAAATGTTTTCTGGTTTTGCCCCTCTTGTGACAGAAAGGGTCTTGAACAGATGGAATTTTCCCTCTGCTCTTTGCAAATGATAAATAACTCTATAATTATGAAAATGCCCAATGGCTCCCAGAGGAGATGTGTTATAATAATAGGCAGCTCGTCTGTGATGACATTAATAGATATAGATAGTAACAACAGACATCCCACTGGAAATAACCAGGAGCCATATCTTATTAATGTCCTCTGAGAATCTGCTCTGGGGCCATGTTCTCTAATAATATGATGCGCGCCTTATTAAGGTGGTGGAATATTAATTTTGCTGGGTGAAGATAAACAGGCAAGACTGTTCTCCATGTTTGAGGCTGAGGAGCGAGTGGTTGTTTTATGTTGTATTTTAGTAATATTATCAAGGGTTTGGCTAGTTTTCCTCCACTTGAATTCTATCTATTCCCAGGCTCAGTCCAAGAGGATTGTGTGCTCATAGCGGCTCTTCTTCGCCCCTGGGAAACTAAGGGGAAGGGAATGTGATAGGAGGGGTTTGACCCCCTGAATGTTGCTTCTGTAAGGAGCCTAAGAAATGTTTTCTTGTCCTTCATGAGAAACCAGAGGAAAAAAAATCATCCACAGACACTCATGTTCTTGCCCCAACCGCAGGGTCTGGCTTGTTGTTGTGACTCTTCACTAATTTTAGATGTATTCTTTAGATTTAGATATTGGGTGTGGCTTGCGTTAGATGCTCTGTGGTGAAGCATAGGAGCAAGAGGGTGGGTTTGAATCTCTCAGTGTCTAGGAAAAGAAAGACGGAGGTTGGTGGTGCTGTTGAATTTGTGAGGAGGAAAAATGTAAACTGAAACTAGAAAAATCACTATGAGGTATCTGAGAACTGAGACATTTAACAATAAATTCATTTATGTTGTATTCTTTAAAAACGAATTTTGGTCCTGATCCTGGATTTCTTTCTTTTCTTTTTTTTTTTTAAATGAGAAAAATTGCAATGTTTTTGCTGGGAAGAATTGAACCTAGGACTTCATGCATGCTAGGCAAGAGCTCTGCCAACTACCATGTATTCTCAGTTCCTAGGATGAGTTTTAGAAGACTAACAGAGTGGTTAAGTAACCCCCATAGAACAAGCCCTCTCACAGTGGAAATCAGAGCCCTGCATACCTTCTTGGAGGGGAACTATCTCTATTCGGGAAACTTCCGGCTATTGAAGCATATTGAACTTCTTTTCCTAATCCTTAGTCAAAGGTAATGATTCTCCTCTGGGATACCACTATAGCCGTGGTTCTCAACCTTGCTAATGCTGCAGCCTTTAATACAGTGACCCCCAACCAGAAACTATTTTTACTGCTACTTCTTAACTGTAATTTTGCTACTGATATGACTCATAATGTAAATATCCATGTTTTCCTATGATCTTTGGCAATTCCTGTGAATGGGTTGTAACCTGACCTCCAAAGGGGTTGTGACCCAGAGGCTGCTAACTACAGTTCTATAGGATCCCATGGATGCAGATGTATGTGCTGATACATAGAGCTTCCAATGTCTTCAGTCCCTTACAGTCTCTAGTTCCCAAGGCAATGAATGCCCCTTTTCCAGAGACTGTGGAACAGAGCCATTCCTCATAAACTCCCTCCTGTCTATTCCAGATATTCCCCTCATCTGTTTCAGATGCTTAGGCTTTAATTCGATTTGTCAGGCAGTTTTCCAGCCTTAGCTAGGTTATATCCTGAGGAACATCTGAGTGTGGGAAGTGCTTAGCATGGTGTTAGACACAAAGTTGTCCCTCAATTATAAGTGTGTGCACAACTATTTAGTACACAGATTAGTTTTATCATGACAGTTTCAGTCCAGCTACTTTGATGTCTTGCTTTCAGCCGTATCATCAGTCACTGGTGCACACACTCACTGTGGGACATGGGCTATTTACACTGTGCAAAAGGGCTGCTGTGGATTCACATAGAACATTGATTTTTCATGTGAACTCCATGTGTCCCCAGAAGTTGAGCTGGAGAGGAAGTAGACTACAGTGTATGAGGCTTTGGGAAGAACACCTTCATGCTCTGCTTTGAAGATGGATGTCTGTAGGTTTTTCCTGATGTGTATGGCATGTACCATCTGTTACCCAGCCTGTCACGTGAGTCATGTCATTAGACCCTCCCATTCTTACAGTTCAGAGAACATATTAAAAGATCCTAGGGTAATTATTCCCACAGTAGGCTGAGCCTCTCTGAAATTTGAGACAGTCTCCAATGCTTCACCCTGGGGTTGTTGCTAGGCAACAGAGTTGCTTCTCAGATACTGAAAGAGCTCCCCAGCTATCCCTGACTGTAGTTTTTCTCTTATTGAGAAAACTTTCTAGCCACAGTTTCTGTCATTTTTTCCCACTATCCAGTGATGTTACTTTGAACTCCTCATGTCACGTGACTCTCTCAATTAGAGGATCTGCATCTCTCTATGGCTTGTGGCACAGTGCACCAGAGTGTAGGGTCTTTCCAACCAGTATTGAAGTGTTCTGAAACCAAGTGACTTTAACAGAAAAAAGAGAAATTAATAAGAGAAAAGTGTGTAAGTTTTATTCGTATTGATAATTTATATGGTGAAGGCAGCTGCCACAAAAGACAAGATGCCCTCAAATAAGTAGGGCACATATACCGTTGTATCAACATAACAACAACAACAACCCAAAACAATGAATTGTGGAGATGTGACAAGAGGAAGGAAAATGGCTTAGGGGTAGTAAACTGTGAGGACTTATTAGGAAATATAAAAAGGAAGCTAAAAGATGCTAGGGATAATTTAGAAAGCCCATGAAGTTTAATAGGATTGTATCAGTTCCCTGGAATAAGGGATGTTCTGTTCTTGGTACAGGAAGGACACGCTTCTCAATGGAATTTTCATCCTCACTTTTAGGAAGAAAGGAAGAGGGCAGAGTGCACTTCCATACTTACTGGTTCCCATTTGCCCTTAGCTCAAAATTGTCAACATGCCACAGTGATATGTTTGGGGATGATATGTTCTGATTCCTTCCAATGGGCACATTTTTGGCAACTCAGAATAGAGGAGGGCCAGGGGATCATTGAATTTTTAATACCTCCTAAGTACCAGGTTTTGTGCCAAGTGCTGAATGTAAGGCCAAGAAACCTGGCCAAATAAACAGTTGTTCTTGTTGTGGAAAGACAAAATACGCAGGCCAACAAAGGAGTTTTATAATAGAGCGCTGTGAAGAAAATGTGATTCTAGAGGTATGCGGCCCAACACTGTATCTTTAGCTACATGTAACTGCGGAGTACTTGGTAAGGGGCTGAATGAAGTAAGATGAGCTAGCAATTGTACGCTAGACTTCAAAAACTTGGGCTTACAAAAAACCCATCATAAAGTATCTCATTAGTCATTTTTGGCTTTTTGGTTGCATGCTCAAATAATTATATCTATAATATGTAAAAATTTTTGTAAAGTATTAAAATGAATCTCATGTGTTTTTGTTTTATTTTATCTATTGAAATCATGGCTGTCTAGAAAATTTCAAAGTCATATGTGTCTTGCAAGCTGTTTCTACAGGCCAACACTGTGAGGGACAACACAGGTTGAGAGCCTTGTGCAAGGCCTCCGGAAGAGTGACATTTCTGTCTGTATGCTTCCTTTTTTTGTTGTTTTTTAATTTTTCCTGTGTATTCCTGGCTGTCCTGGAACTCACTTTGTGGAGCAGGCTGGCCTTGAACTCACAGAGATCAGCCTGCCTCTGCCTTCTGCATGCTGGGCTTAAAGGCATGTGCCATCACACCTGCTAAGAGTGACATTTTAAGACCTGAAAAATGAGGGCAACAAGGAGACCTCTAAGTCAGTGGAAAGAGATTGATGTAATGTCACAGAAATGACATCACAAAAGCAGAGTTTAGAGAGAGATAGCAGAGAAAGAAGAAAACAAGGTAGAAGGGACAGTATAGGTGGAGAGTCAGGTCTCTCTCTCTCTCTCTCCTTCCATCTCTCCCTCCCCCCTCTCTCTTTCTTTTTCTTTTTTTCTTCTTCTTTTCATTGTTTTTTCAGACAGGGTTTTTCTGTGTAGCCCTGACTGTCCTGGAACTCACTTTGTAGACCACCTCGAACTCAGAGATCCACTTGCCTCTGCTTCCCAAGTGCTGGGAGTAAAGGTGTGTACCTCCATGCCTGGCCAAGACATTGATTGGTTTAATGCAAAAGAGCAAATCAACAGCTTGAGGACCCAGAGGCCACTTGTACAAAAGGGGTTTTTAGGAAGAGATGATGGTCAGATAAAAGTCTCGCCACGACTCAATCTTTGAGTGAAGCTGCTAGGACTGCCCGCCTTGCCCTGTATTCACACAACACAAGCGCTTGATCATTTATGTGGTGGTAATGCTATGGAACTGTGTGTAAAACTCGCCTTTGTCTTCCTTACCGTCCCCCACAGTGCTTGGAGCCAGATGAACTGTTACTCACGGCTGGAGGAGATTTTGAGGATGAGCTTAGAGAGGAAGAGGTCCAGAGAGTTTCTCTCCTCCTTCTCTATTACATCGTTCACCAGGAAGAGATCTGTTCGTCAAAGTTCAACACGAGCAACAGAGAGTATACATTTTACCTTCATAGCCTCCTGGGCCTCCGGCAGGATGAAGACTCCCATTTCCTTTCACAGAAGGAAACTGAAGACATCTTGGCGCTCACCAGGGAGTACTTTGGCACTTCTGGTGGCCAGGTAAGAGGCGAGGAACTGCTGTCTGTGCTTGTGTTGAGTTGTGGGCTTGGCCTTGCTTAAATCACTTAGTCCTAGGACATGAGTGAACTTCTAAGAGAGATAGGTATTTCTGGTTTGAACTACAGGATAGTAGATAGTAAGTGATGTAATTTAAAATTGCACATGGAAATGAGATGATTAAATGAAGAATGACTTTTAGACAGAAGTTGGGTGGGTGGACGGGTAGGTAGACAGGCCAGGTGACAGGGCAGTTTTCATCTCCTGAATAACTATGAGTCAAAAATTTGATCAGCGTCCAAGAGATGAACTATCGTGGTGGAAGGCCATGTGTCTGCCTTGGCTTCTGGCCAGGGAAGAAGGCAGAAACAATTAGGAGATGCATTTATCATCAGTGATTTGATTGATAAAAGCACTACTTGCAATAGTCAACCCTAAACAGCAGCCACTCTGCTGCTTAGCATTTTGTTTCAATGCACATACTTCTTAGTGCCCTCAGCTCCCCATCTCAGCTAATGGGCCCCTGATCTTCTCTCGCCTTCATTATTGTTCTCGGAAATCTGCCTTCCAAGCATGCTTTATGTATCAGTAGACAAAGGTATCAGAACATAAAGTTTATTCTTATTGTTCTCATCCTATGGAGCAGGTACACAGCTCACAGGTGAAGCACTTAAAGCACAAACAAGGACACCTGGGTTTGGATCTCTAGCACCTCTGTAAAAGCCAAGTGTCTCAATCACTCTTGCAATCCTTGGAGTTAGAGGAAAATAGGCAGCTACCTTGGACTTATGGTCAGCCAGTCTAATCAAAATGGCAAGCTGCAGTTCAGTATCAGACACGGTCTCAACAAATAAAGGTAAAGAGTGACAGAGGATGACAACTGACATTGACCTCTGGCCTCCACACGAGTACACACAGGCCACATACAAATTACATACCTATGCATACACCACTGACACACATGTCCATCATCACCATCATTACCATCATCATCATCGTGTTAGGGACTGAACCTAGGCCTTTGTACTTACTAGGTAAGCACTCTACCACTGAGCTATACTCTCTAACTCATAAATCTTGAGCCGTATTTCAAGAAGAGTTGACTGAGGATCCATTCCACACCATGAAGAGGTGTGAATATTATTTATGCACTAATGGCCATGACATTTCTCTTTTGAATTATTCATTGATTTATTAAAACAAGTTTAATTCTTAGTCTCAATTCTGTTGTTCAAGAGCCAATGTCCTGTTCCAGCAAGCACTCTTCTAAAATGCTGCAAATGGGCTTACTATCTCCTCTTATTGGTACGCAATGAAGAACATATTTACTAAGCACCTTGCAAAAATATTTTTTTCTTTCTTTCTTTTTTATTTATTTATTAAAGATTTCTGTCTCTTCCCCACCGCCGCCTCCC